TGTCAGCTTAATAGTTTTGACATTTATGCCACGAATGTAAACAAAATCTAATACTGGTTGAGCTAATCAAAACATAACCATCAATGGAATGACTATAACATCTATCTCCTAAGAATAGAAACAGTAAAAACCTTTAAAAATGTTTTGTGATTAATTTTTTTAAAGAACAGGGAAGGTTAATAGTACATTTCCCGTTACCTGACATTTTAACTTTAGATGGGCAACGGCTGGGAGATGCTACTTACTTGAATTCAGCTGTTTCTTGATGAGATTCTCTGGGCTATAAAATACAGGAGCTAGGAGCTAGTAAGCATGACAGTCTCCTCCTCAAACCATACAAAAAATAGTATGTATGGAAATTAATGGTTTCTTTCCAAATACAGTCAACTGCTTAGTGTAGCCATAAGATGTCAGCAGAGACCGCTGTTTCTATGCAAACCATTATGAAATGGAAAAGGTCTCTTAAGTTAGAGCATTCAAACTATGATTACTAGCAATACAAATGCCAATGTGGGATGTGACCCAGCACTATATGCTGCCACTGCTAATATGCATCCAAAGATTGAATGTGACAGTGATATGTCTACTGAAAGGACTGGCAAAAAGGGAAGGAAAAGTTGGAGGGCCCAGTTAGGGTTAAAGTTGGTGTAAAATGTAGGAGTAAGCTATTGTAGTAAAACAGCACCATAATGTTTTAGTAAAGTAAAAAGCTCTAATTTTTTGTAACCTAACTAGAATCCAATCCAGTAGTTAAAGACCTGTAACCTAAACCAGGGATGGCTAAAACTCTCTTAGTTGAACTTGGCCTTCAAGGTACTTTTGTCTGCCCTCCAAGAACGTATGACCAAATTCCTGTGAGCTTGCAATTGCTGGGCTAACAATTGTGCCCACTTAGCAAACAAACTGGGGATACTGAAGCACAGGAAAATCTCTCTTAAGTGTGGTTATATTCTGAGGACAGTTTGATTCTCTAGTACAAAGCCAGAACATTTGTTCTAACCTTTTTGGTCCTGAGCTGGGGCAATTTAGTCTGTTAATATGAAAATGACAGTCAGGAGGCTAAGGGACATGTGATTTTTACTGATATATCTTGCCTAACTATGAACTGCTTTGCTGCAAGGAATTTACAAAATGAACCAAAGAAAAGGATATCTGTATTTATGAAGTAGGCTCAGATTTCTTCAGATTTTGTTTTTCAGTTTTAAGTAGCTTGAGACCATTGGATTTCATTTGCAAAGCAATGCAAAACAAGTGATAAAATTGGAAGCCAAGATGACTTGGTGTCAATCAAGCTTGGGAAAATCTAAGTCTTTTGGATCTATCTCATGGGCCAGTTCCAGTTTCCCTTAAAAGCTTCAGTGGGCAGGCACTCCATGCCCTGCTGCAGTCACCTTAATGGAGAGGTTCTGGGCAGATTCTGGCTCTCTCCCCATGCTGACCAACCAGGCATGGACAACTCATGTCCTACTTGGTCTCCATCTTGGCATCCTTTTAAATTTGGAAGGAGGAAATTATGAATCATGTGTGTCTGCATAGAGTCAGTCAGGTCTATTTGCTTTGAATCAGCGATCAACAAATGCATGGAGCTACTTTAACTGAAGCTGTGTCTGAACCAATAATGTCTGCTTGGTCATCAGAGGCAGATTGAGAGACATCCAAGCTGCTCTGCAGGAGCCAGCTCAGGGACAGCACAGACCCAGACTGAATGCTTGCGGTTTCATGTCTACATTATATTCACCAGAATCTCCTCTAAATGTCTGCAGTTTTTTCACCCTCAGGGACTCCTTCGTCCTCCCCTATCCTTCTCTGCCATCCCTTCAGGAAGCCTTTAAATTAGTGACTAGTATTGGCCAGTAGTTCTGTGCACTCTACCCACCTAAACAGTGCTGCTCTGCTCAGTACATCTGCTTTTCTTCACTTTAAATGTGGCCAATTACCTGTGAGTTTGCAATTCACCAGAAAGTAATGGGAACAGTCAGTGTCCTCATGTCACTAATGCATTTGGGGAGAAATACAGCAAAGAACTGGGTATTAAATGAACATTAGTCTCAGTAAGAAGAAGCAGCAGCTGATAAGGTGTCAACTTACATACAGCCCTTTCCAAGATGTTTTCTCTTTCTAGCATAATTCTTCAAAATGTTCAAGGCTTACTTCACTATTCCAAACCATCTTTTTTTCTTTGTATGCAGAAGGAATTTCAGAGAAATGCAAGGGTTATACAAATATTCAGGAGCAGAAGATATTCTTTATTACCATTGTGCCAGATATTGCAGGAAGTCAGAATGAGAAACTTAGGAAAGCCGTGGAAATGAGAATCGCTCTAATTCAGTAACAGATTTACTGGCTTTCTATATTAGATTTGATCACTTGAGTATTTTCTACCGTAGCTGCATAAGTATCTTATAAATACCTACCATATGTGACACAGGCACTTCAAAAGCATCATATAAACTGTAGAATAGATCTGCAGAGAAAGTTAAAGAAAAACATATATCTTAGCTCTTCCATGTCTTTGTAAATAAATCCCAACTCTGAGATGTCATTTTATTTAATTTTATAACATTCAAAACCACTGTAAAATAACATCTGTAATAAATACTCAAAAAATAACTCAGGTGATATTTTACTATTACAGCTTACAGTAATGTCTAAGTAACATCATACAAATTGTATTATAAATAGCTTCACCAGCACCAAAACATAGGAATATTATCTTTTACATAATTCACTTAAGCATGTGGGATTTTGGCCACAAATTATTTTTTTCCTACTCTTCTTATAGACCTGATTTGGTATGCTTTAACTTGTAAAATGACTCAATTACACAGTCCCAAACATAAGCCAACGTGGAAAATATATGAAAAACAATGTGGGAGCAAGTAAGAATTACAAAATTGTACTGGCTATTCACCGAACTTCTACTGCTCAGTCTGATAACAAGCAAGGTCTGCCAACTAAGGTCTTAGACTGGGATTCAGAAACTCTGGTTTCATGTGACCTTGGGCAGTTTTTCTGCCTCAGTTCTCCATTCACAGCATGGTAGTAATAATGTTTCCTTATATCTCCAAAGACTGTAGGCTCTTGGAAGCTCACTGACAGTTTTTTGTAAAGTAATTGGTACTGTGGGACTAAGATCAGAGCTGAGCTCAGTAAGAGTAAATGTGCAGTCTTTAACACAAGACAGAATGATAAAATTGTTCTGATATTTAACAGAGGTAGGTAAATGATGCCCTTTGCACTATTGGAGGAGGTACAAGGCACTTGCCCAATGACACAGTGTGCCTTGCTGACACAGCTTCTGAGTCACAGTCTTGAACTGTAATATGCTGAAGTCCTCCAGAAACACATGATCTAACAGAAATTTAGCAGCACTGTTAACACATTCAAGTATTAATCCCAAGCCACAGTGGTTGGGGAAAATTTCTTCATCAACTTCAGTGGGCACTGGAGTAAATTTTTTCTTAAACGTTGTTACCCAGATGAAAAATTAATAAAGAAAAATTAGATTGCTTGGAACCTAATTCAGGTATCCCATCTGTTCAGTTTTACTCAGCAGCTTTCAGCACAAGTTACACATAGTCTAGCACAAAGCATGTTACTGATTTCATGAAAAGGAATCACCAAAATTGCTAAGTAAAAACTGTGAAATGCATCAGATACATCTGCATTACAGAATTGAAAAAGCAGCAATTGCTAAGTAAAAACTGTGAAATGCATCAGATTTAATAAGTAATAAGCTTATTAATAAGTAGTAATAAGCTGAAAGCGGCAGCATCTGATAGATTGGGGCTGGCTACAGTAGTTAAAACATCTGGAAAGCAGCTGTATCTTTCTCTTGTTACACTGTTGCTACACAAATGTGAGTAGACTCACCATTGTACTGTACTTGAGGACTTCACCATCATAGTCACTACCAGCTGCCGGATAACTAGTATCTGGTTATTCACAGTATCTAGGCCTTATATCCTTTCATTTTATCACAGCACCAAAGCTCATTTTTAGAAAATGACTCATTTCTTTGTTTTCACCCTGTAAGTAATGATTTTAGAAAAGAGAACATGATGCTGTGTCTCTCCTTAGACATTACACACAGCTGACATGGATTAGGCTTCTGGGGTTCTCTGGTTTCTCAAATCACCCCATTTTTGTGTCTTGTCACAAAGAAATAGTGTGATTGTGGCACGGGAGAGAGGAGGACCTCTCTGGGGATATACATGGGAAAAGAAAGATCCTATAAATACAAAAGGCGTCCACCAGAGTAAAGATTAATACTACCTCACTAGATGTTCTACCCATGACCTAGTGCTGGGGATTATCACTGGAGTTCTCCAAATATTCTGCAGCTCTTCATATTCTGGATCTTCACTTTTGATTTTACTTTGTGCAGGAAAACCATGTTAAGCCTGCAATATGAACTGAGGTCATTTATGCCTCACACTCTCTCCCTGGGTTCAGGTGTATAGACATTGTATATCTCTATGGTCCTCCAAAGGCAGCAGGAAGGCCACGCTACCTGCTACAAACCAGCCATCTCAGAGCAGCTCTGCTGGTAGAGGCTGCCAGCATGACTGGAATCCTAGGCATACTTATTAGGAGTCTCAGAGGAGAAACCAAAAGCTAAGTAGACTGTGCAGACTGGCCTGCAAGGTACTCTGAGGCACTTTGCTGGGACAGCAGAAAGGAGAAAAGCAAGCAAGAAATCTGTCTTGTTCTAAGCAATGAATGGAGATGTCTTATGAGCTGCCAGCTGAAGTTATTTTGGAAACACTAATACTGCAATGTACTTTCTTTTAAAGTCACAAGCGTTTCCTTATTGACAACACTTGAAATGTTTTACTGATTTATCTTTGTGTTTTATAGCTACCTATGAGAAGGGTTTATGGCAGCTGGCAAGATACTCAGTCACAGCCTTGCTGCTTTTATTACCCCTAGAGACCAGATGGACCAAGCAACCCACATTTCTAGGCTCTGCAGGGTTCTGTTGTTGCACTGATACCTGTTCATAATGCCTGTTCATGTCGCCGTTTCAGATCCACAGTTCTTGCTGCCAGGAGAAACACAGCTCCCGTGAGCACTTCTGCGACAAAGGAGATCCAGACTAGCGCCAGTGACCAGCCAAACCTGATGTCGATTTCTACCATGACATCCTTACTCCTCAGGAGGAAGGCAGCTTCTTCGAAGGCAGCAGCTGAATATGCAATATAGACGCTGATCCCAGTTAGTGTAACAAGAGCTGGGAAACAAAAACATATTCAGCTAGTCAGCATCCACTGCAGAATTTAAAAATAGTTAATTTGATATCTCTTAGGGCTTCTTTGCCATTCCTTCCTATCTACCCAGGCCAGATCGCCAGTTAGTCTCTGTGCAAGAAAGCCCATGGAGACAGAGATTCTTGCATTTCAGGTCAGTGACATGAAATTAGGCTGGTTTCTACTTTTGAGTATCATAAGTTTTGAGTGTTCAGTGTAAATGTGTTTGTCTTTACTGTCACCTTTCACCAAGTGTCGTGGAATCATGACTTCCAAATAATTGAGCCAAAGACATCCTTGGAGCAGACTAAAAATAAATTAACAAAGGCACTCAAACAAGAAGCCAGATGTTTTCAGAATGAAAGGACTGTACAGAAGCTAGCAAACTTAGGCAGTGCACATCAAGCGCAAGTACATGCTACATCCTGGGCCTGGTATCTATGTCACTCAAAGGATATATACTACCTTAAGACTTTACTGGATCAGTGGCAGGAAAGATGCAATAGAAAGGCCCTGTATTAAAGGACTGTAGCCCAGGGAAAGTAGACACTGGAACACTTGTAGGACAAGATAGTGTCTTATCTGACCTGAGGGAGAAAAATTTTGGTCTGGCTTTCTGTTAAATCACAGTGTAAGTCTAGAAGTCTGTATTCTTGCCAGAAAGACAAGTTTGAGTAAAGACAAACCAAAACAGAAGTGTATTGGGTTATCCCACAGTCAAAACTCATACTCATATTCCTGATTTTAACCATGCTATGATGCCTCTGCAAGGTGGGGGGGTAATCACTTCTCTATACCTTTTGTCAGCAGAAATAGAAACAACTGTTTTGTTGACATTTTCAACAAGGCATGCTGAGTTCTGTGATCCCCCTTAAATGTGGCTGCATTTCCAAAAAAAATGAGGAAGCATGTAGGATGTCCTGGGATGTGGAACACATCCATTCTGGTATTTTCAAAAAACCTCAGGTTTCTGGAATTGCATCATAAAATATTTCTTTCTGCTGAGACAGAACCATCAATACCTTCGTGAACTGTAATACTCTCAATAACTTTGTGAACTAGAACATCCTATAAAACTGTGCATGCCCATTACATGCATCAAGCCTCAGTGCAGCTGAAACAGCTGAACAATACCGCCTGAGTGGGAGGAGGGTCTGGTCTCACACCAAAGGCCACCCTGCAGTCTGTTCACACTGTCCTGGGAAACAGCACTAGTTCCATCTTCAGAACATATACAAGCACCCCTCTCCTAATACTGTCTTTGTGTTTCCTTTCCCTCTTTGCAACCCCAAGTGTTTTATAAAGGCACAGGACTCCACTCCTCAGCAGGATAATCAAGCTTTGTACTTCACAGCTTTTCATTTTTCACTTCCTATTTGGAGTAGTTTTCAAATAGCTTAAGCCTTTTCAGTGAATGCAGCTTTCTGATGTCCTAAGGAAACAGAAGTTAATTATTTTATTTTTTTTAGAATAAAAGCATAAAGGGGGATGGTTGGTCTTTGTAAGAGCTTTTCAGACTAAAAAGGTGAGTCAGGACTCTCAGACAGCAGCATTTGCTTCCAGCAATTTTTTATCATTCTCTTCTTAGAAACATGGCTGTATGATCAGGTGATGAGGGCTAATACTGAGGTTCCCCTTTTCTGTTGGGGAAAATTTCTGTTTCAAGTTACATTGTGAAACAGTACTGAAGATCTATTTGGAGAAGAAAATGGAGATGGATTTAAACCCAGCTTTCCTACTTCGACAGAATGTTTTTAGTGTTAATTCACAAATGACATTCTAAAACATAGACATTTTGGTTTCAGCAAAAATAACAAAAACCAAAATATAAAAGAATGTTACTAGCTTTAGATTGAAATGTTACACTCCAACTAAAATAACTCTTTGGGTTTTCTGTTTGTGACCCACAGTTTGGGGACACCACTGCAGTTCAAAACTAGCAAGAGCTAACCCAGGAGTGCCTAGGAAGACCCTTTTCAGGAACATGCAAATACCTTTGAAAAAATGTCAGTTTTCTTAACAGTTGTATGATCTGTGCAAGGCTTTTGAACCCTATGCTTTGCTAATTCCAAATTTGCTTCTCCATTACTCCAGTACCTTGTCTGTAAAGAATTTGGGCACTGTGCTGACAAGGTATTAAATCTTTTGTGTTAATGGGCACAGCAAACACATTATGTTCAAAGTGTGACTCACTCCAGAAGGATGTATGGTTGTGTGATTATTTGCCTTTCCTGACTCTAAGTGGCAGCTTTCTATTCCAGAATCCTGTCAGGAGCTGAACAGACACCACATTATTCTGAAAGCAAAATCTTGCTTAGCTTTTTTCCCCTGGAAGACAAAGTGATGTTTCCCAGATATAAACCCAGATATAATCTCTTATTATTTAAAACTGTTAAGCCGGGGGTTTGAAATAGTACCTCCAAAAAGAAAAAGCAGTCCTGTCATTCGAAGCAGTAGGTAGGCCCTGGCAAGAATACTGATGAATCCAGTCATTCCTCCAAAAATCATCAATATCAGGCTGAGGGGCATCAGGATGACAAATGTTCCATGCATGTCTGAAGAACAACAAAGAAAGTTAAAATTTTAATATTTTATTGTAGTGTCATTGGATGTACTAATAATTATTGATCACAGCACCACTGATCAGGATCAAAGCCTTATTCTGTGCTGCACAAACAAGGATTTGGACAATCTCTTGGTTTTTCAGTTTAGGTCAGCAGGACAAATAAATGGCATGGAGAAAAAGACAACATACAGAGCAAGCCCTTCACAGGATCACAGCCTGTGTTTCAAACAGAAGCCACAAATATTAAGGACATGTCTACATGGATTTATTTAAGCAATTAAGCCATTCTCAGATATTAAACCTAGCTGGATAACAGGTGACGTATTGCATATCAGGTAGTCACTGACAACCTTAATAAAAAGTAGCCTGGTTATCTGAATCATACAGATCAGAGCGAGTGGCATTGGTGGTGGTGAGATCCAGCAGATACTTTGACTAAACGCTTTCTTTTGTGTCCTCTGCTGAACTGATCTAGCAAATTGTTGACCTTTTCCTTTGTGGCAGCTGACCATCAACCAGAGGTAAATTTTCCTGTCCAGCTCTCATTCTGTGTCTGTAATTGTTTTCTACAGCAGCTTCACTACAGGTATTAACCTATCCTTGTTGCTTCCTCCCATGCTACATGTTTTACATTAGTCTTTATTGATCCCTATAACATTTAAATTGCTGTGTAAACAAAGGGTTGCTATGTATTTTTCATATCACACTGTTTTTTCCATCATAAACCATCTTTGTGTCATTGTTCCCTCTCATGCAATCTATCCACAATATTCAACCCAACCTTTTCTAGAATAATAACCACAAAAAAGCAATTCCAGCTTCCAGTATACATGTATTTCATACCAGAGTGAAGTGCAGAGTTACTGAGAAAGGAAAACTTAAAATCCATTTTCTGAAGGGCTCAGGGCTTCCATGTGTCATTTAATTTCACAGAGGAGTAGCAATACACCATTAGCTGGTTCCCAAAGAAAAGGAGTGAGTTAAGAGATCACTCTAAACTTATGAGTTTGTGTGTGATCAGATGATCAAATTTTTTAAGTCACTGTAACTGCCAAATGAAGTGGAGGTACTCCACCTGTCAATGCCTAAGGATCCAGCTTATACTCTTCAATATCATTGTAAAGATAAGACACAATTGCACACATATGTCTGTTCAGTTCTAGAACCTTGGAAGGTCAGGAACAGCCTGCATGGGATCAAGGCAGACACTGTTGATTTCTTTACTGTAGACTGTGGTTTCAAGCCATAATTATTTGGTTTGTGTAATGCAGAACATGCTCACAAGGAAAAATGTGGCAAAGGACAAAGTTTTGGGAGATGACCCTATTGTTCTTTCATTTCCTTTTATTTATGCTGGTATTATATTCTCATATTTAGTCCCACATATGCCCACATCAGGATCAGGTCATGCTCAGAGAGCTTGAGTTCAGCATTCTGCACTGAAGGGAGCACTTTCTCTTCTTGCTATTAAATCTGCAGATACTCTGCGGTCTTTACTTCAGCAAAACTGGCTATGGCTGCTGTTGCTGGCTAAGAAACCCAAACCTATAGCAATTCTCACACACTAACGGTCAAATTAATCTTCAGCTTACTGTGTATAAACCAGTAAGTCAAAACGCTTTGCAAATCTTAGTTGAATACCAAGAGGAGAAATAGCCATGGAACTTAGTTCAGGAGTTTTGTATAGTTAGAAGCGGCTGTCAGGGATGTGATGCAACATGATGTGACAGAACAGAGATTTGGCACACAATTTAGTTCTCATATTCTAGAGGGGCAGTAGGAACAGGCTAGTCTTCTGCCCCGTTTGTGCCTCCTGAGGCCTGATTTTGATTGCCCACCATTTTGACATCCATGTGTCCTCTTGGTCTTGCATGCAAGACATGAAGAGGACTTGGGGGGATAAAATCTGATGCAATTCATACTTTAAAAGAAAGAATGTAAGAATGGTGCAACTCTGTCCTCAGATCTGGCTTTGCTGGGAGAGAAGAAACATAACCAAGGTCATCACCAGGCCTGGGCTTTGTGATTTTCCAGGCGTCCCTCACTAGTCAAAGTTGCTGCTAACAAACTGTACCTCAGGACAGTAGCACTAACAGTTGCTGTTTCTTTGACTTTCCTTTTCATGGTGTGATTCCAGCTACTGCAGCTAGGACTGTAACCTTAGCCAGGACAAGTGTGGGTGAAGAAGACGAGGCTCTGAATGTAACCTTTTCTTTTGAAGCAAAGGGAAGACAAATCCATACCAGAGTATTCTCCTAGGGAGTGTCACAGATTACATTAATGATCTGTGACAGTTGCATGTAACATCAGAAGAACTCCGATTTTTATGCCCTCTTCAGTGAAAAGATAGGGTTTAGGGATATCTCAGCTGAAACCCATAAATCCCACTGTGACAGAGCCTTGCTTTTCCTACATACAGCTGGGATCACTTCTCATTAATCACCTGCAGCTTTTTTAAAAATCGAATATTTAATGGATTGTATTTGGTTAAACAGCACTTTTATCACCTCCAGTGTTCTAGTTCAATACCTAATACCCATTTGTCCTTCTTCTATGAAATCTGCAACTGTCTGGGAAACTTATTCTAAAATGCTGCCATGGAAACGACTCTGGAATCTGAATTCATGCTATCTGGCATATAATATTATACCTTTATATTCCTTGATTAGAGGGACAGAATTAATTTGTAAAAGGACATGACTTAAAATATCTTTACTGTGTTTCTGTCTTCAATAATCAGCTGTGAAAGAAGTTAAAACATTTGCTGTCCTTTTAGTGTTTTTTAGGTTGTGTTGAAGTACATATTTATGGACTATGTATTGTACATGTAACTGTCTTAATTTTGATTAATCTAGTATTAAAAAAAACCCAAACAACCTAAGCATTTTGCACAAGAAGAGGTATGTGCACTTTCCTGTAAAACAGAATTCAGTTTCCCACATCTATTTCTCAACGCTCGAGTTCCCTGTCAGTCCAACATGAAAGATCCAATAGTTTAATCTCAAAAATACTGAAGCAAACTGATGAACATTTTTTGTAGCAAAAAATACTTTAATTGCTTGATCAGAGTTAATGAAGTTTTACATCAGCTAGCCAAAACTGGTTTACCAGAGGTCTGAACAAGCACCTGTAAGAATGACATCTGTGATGTGTGTCCAGATCTGCGAATTTGGCAGACATTTCTAAATTACCACTCAACACAGTTGTTGATGAGTTGTTTGTAACAGAAATTTGTGGAATGAATGAGAAAAATTGAATGGTGTCAAAAGTAACCAACTGCAGATGCAGCAGTTTTGCTAATCTTCTCCTGTTTAACATGCTGGAGCTTAATTGTTTCAAACTAACTTTGGATTTGTTTGCACAGCTTATAATAGCAAATAGTCTCTAGAAATCTGTAATAGTCCCCTCATCAGAAACACTCCAAATGGCAGCAGGTCAGAAGAGTTTAATTAAGGACCTGTTTATCTTCCCCAACAGTAACTAAGTAGCCAGTTAGAAAGACAAAAGCCTCTGGCTGAAACAGCATGCTGGCAATAGCTAAAACCAGTGAGGCTGCTCTGGAAAGGCTTGCCAAAGCCAGGAAGAAACAGTACACTGAGAAAGGCTGATCTGCTTGCAAGGAAGGAAGAGAGGAAACAACTTAAAGAAATGACAAGCAACAGAAAAGAACTGCTGTCTGTGGCTAAATGTGAGACTTCTGGGCTTGAACCCCAGCGAGACAAAGGCCTGGATTCCCTCCTGTTCAGTAGAGAAAAGATGATGGTGGATGAGAGCTCACAGGGTTAGGGTAGCCCAGCATAATCAGCTAAGCTCTGGACTTTGTGTTACACATTTTGCCTTTGTGCTCTTCTCATGCAACAAGTCTCTGAGCTAAACTGAAAGACAAATTGCATGTAATAGAAATAAAATGATGCTAGGCTTGGTACAGGTGGGCACTGACAAAAACCTTCAATAGTAGGAATAGGTACAATGATAAATGTAAGCAATGCACTGTGGTTCACATTCTATTGCTATGATACCAATGAATGTGAAAATTAGAACATTCATTAGAAGTTGTCACTCATTAGGTCTCACCTGCAGTGATGCTACAGTTATCTCAGATGTCTGTATATATTTATTGTAATATCTACTGTAAGTACTGAAGCAAATGTTCACGGAAGCCTCTTTGAAGGACCACTGCACTGTTGCTCAGAAACAAAGCAGATTCATTTAGGTATACACCTACCACAGCAATTAAGTTAGAATTTCTATGGACATCATTTGGGTCTTACTTCACTTGGCCTCTGAAGTGGCTCTTGCCAGGTATTCCAGCCCTAGCTCTTTCCTTCTGAGAACTTAAAACCAAAAGGAAAAATTGTGAAGAACTATAAATGCCCCAGGAAAAATGTAATGGCAGCCAAAGGATAAAGCATTCTGGGATTAGGAGCAGGAGTATAAACTTGTAGCTCAGTAAAAGTGAAGCAGGCCCATAAAGAGTGGGGAGATGTGTGAAAGCAGCTAGTTAGTGACTGTTACAGGGTCTACATGCTCTAAGGAAATCTAGTCCAGTTTAACTGTACTACTAAACTGATTTTGTTGAGGAAGAAACCAAGGCAGCTGCTATATTGTAACAACTGAGGTATCAGTAACTGTCCCTACCGCAAAGATTGTTTCCATACAGGAAGCACTAACTTCCCTGCAGGAAGCACTAACTTGTCTGCGGCCTCATGGTTCCAGATACATTGATGTCTAAAAAAAACAAGTAAAAATACTCCAGGGAGAATAATTTCAGCAGCTGTGCATGGGCAGCTGCACACTCCAGTCTTGGTTTTGTAACAAGAAAAACATTTTCTTTCAGCCATATGTAAGTGGAAACCACATCCATTAACTGATCATCTCGGGATGGCTCAGGAATAGAAGAGAGCACTTAAAAGTGACTTGTAACAGGAAATCAATCACTGGCTGTGATGTTCACATCACTAACAAAAAATCAGGATTGTCAGAGGCTTAATCATACCTTGTAGGTGCCAAATGCAGTTGGTTTGTGTGTCGGGGCAAACCAGGCAACCATTAAGAAATAACAGTAGTTCCTCTCATGTTATTTTTCATATCACTTAGCCCCGGCTCTGCAGTGTAGATGGGATCCCACACCAGGTTGGGGTGCAAAGCTCAGACTCAAGAGAAATTATCTGTTTTGTAATTTTGCTACTGTTCGCATCTTTGGACCAAAATGGCCTCTTACATTTTGTCCAAATACCACATTATGGATGTTGCCTTGGTGCGTCAAAAGAAAAAAGAAAGAAAGAAACAAACAAAAAGCTTTGTGCCAATTTGGTTTTAAACTATAAGAGGAGGGGGGCAAGTCACACAAAAACCCCTCCACATTTTAACATTTCACCATGCTTTGAAAAAGCCTTAGCCACAGCTACCTAGGATCAGCAAATCATATAGCATTTAGTTCAGAAGAACATAGATGGAAGTAATTTTTATGTTACCAAGCAGGGGTCACTGTCCAGCCATAACTGAGACACATAGCAACAGGTTGCTTGAGTTTCCAGAAAGTCAAGCTCACAGAATAGTTTTGACAGGATACATTAGTATCCAGCAAACACATACTTTCTTCTGTTCACAGCTCACCTGTCCTGCAAGAAGTACTTGAACCAAGTCCAGAGTACAAATTGATTTTGATTAGAAATACCAAATTTGGTCATTTTGCAGGGATTACACTGGTGATGTCTTTAGCTAAACCTATACTAGTATTTATTATTAACAATACAGATTTTGGTAAATGAAAGATATTTATATTACAAAAACACCCAAGAGTAACCTTTCCCCAATGTAACTTGTTAGGTTTGGGGGGGTGGCATTTTGGGGCTTTTTTGGGTTTTTTTATAGAAATTATTTTACAAAGCTGCAAGTCTTTAGGAAAATCCTTCGGTAGATTAAATGTTGCCATTTCTTCTATGCACCAACTGTATGTGATCCTCAACATCTTCGATGTGGTTTTGAATGTTATGTTTCTTCTACTGGAAAATGGCAAAGCTGCTCAGAACTCCTGAGGCAGCTTCGTTTGAGGTCAGAGTGACATCCTTCTTTTACCATTTAGTGAGAGATGGATTCAGCTCATCATGAAAAAAATTTGCTCTTTCTGCTTGTCTCCCATAGTTGGCACAGGAGAATGCATGGCAAGACAAGGTATCTGGGGTGTATTTGCTGACAGCTTTCAGTTTTAAAGGTGACTTTCATAGGACTATCTTTAAACCTAGTGGTCACCATGAGACCGTAATAAATGTCTAAATTATTGAAAAGTGACATTTTCATTTTAATGCTGTATGGGACAGAGGAAAATGTACATCTCAGTAAAAACATTTTTTTTTTAATGCAGAAATTTCAGAAAAGCTAGTGGTAGGTAGTCTAGTGGTATATTTCTTTAGACAGTGGCTGATGTTTTAAACAAATATATAACCATGCCGTAATGTAATCTCTAGTAGGAAAATATTTTATACATTGTGGGTTTGAGGGAGAGAGAGGGTATACGCCATATGTTCAGCTGGAGGGAGTGTTAAGAAAATAAATGGAAGCTTAATGTACAGGAGAAGGCATGCTTATATCTAATCCATTAGAGAAATTGCTCAAGAGTACTCCTGTGATGTGAAAATAGATCATACTCTCAGGCTTAACAAGACCTAGTTGATTGCCTGAGTAATATTGCTGGTAGCACAGAACTTTCACTTGTACACACAATTTTTTTTTTTAATTTGCCAGCAGCTCTATTTGAAGTCCACAATAAACCTAAAAGTAATCTGCTGGAGAGGAATAGGAGAGAGATTGGAAATGTGATGGGAGGGAATGTGAAGGCTTTTAATTTTCTAATGAAGGGTTTGTCTTCTGACAGTGACCAGCACTTCTGTTCCACTTAGGCCCAGCTCTTTGCACTCAGGTACAGACTTTCTCCCATCTTTTTGGCACTTGTGTCTAGTTAAGACATGCCAGGAACAGTATGGGAACTCTGAAGAATGGGGGACAGGATTCCTGATGTGTTACTTAAGTGCCTGCATAGGCAGACAGCCCTTCTAAATCTTTTTAGGAATAATGGGCCAGAAACGTTTTGATCGTTTAGGTTGGAAAAGACCTTTGAGATCATCAAGCCCAACCATTAACCTAACATTGCCAAGTCTGCCACTAAACCATGTCTCTAAGCACCTCATCTACCCATCTTTTAAACACCTCCAGGGATGGCGACTTGACCACTTTCCTCAGCAGCCTGTTCCAATGCTTGGCAACCCTTTTGGTGCAGAAATTTTTCCTAATATCCAATCTAAACCTCCCCTGGCACAACTTGAGGCCATTTCTTCTCATCCTATTGTTTGTTACTTCGGAGAAGAGACCAACCCCCACCTGGCTCCCCCCTCCTGTCAGGCACTTGTAGAGAGTGATGAAGCCTCCCCTCAGCCTCCTCTTCTCCAGGCTGAACACCTCCAGCTCCCTCAGCTGCTACCCATCAGCCGTGGGCTCCAGACCCCTCACCAGCTTCATTGCCCTTCTTTGGATATGCTCTAGTGACTCAACATCCTTCTTGTAGTGAGAGTCCCAAACTTGAAGACAGTATTTGAGGTGAGGCCACGCCAGTGCCAAATACAGGGGGATGATCACCTCCTTAGTCCTGCTGGCCACACTATTTCTGATACAAGCCAGGATGCTGTTGGCCCAGGATGCTATTGATGTTGCCAGAGCTCCTGAAATTCAGTCTGCCAATCAAACAGTGAGAAATATGGGTGTACAGCTAGACAGAATGAGATTAATTCCATGTGAATGTGCCTCACACAGACACCTGCACAGGCACACACAAAGAGAAAAAAATAATTTTTTGAAGTAACTGATTAAAGTTGTGCAATTAGCCTCTTTGTCCCATGTAGCAACCCATGAAGAAATTACTGCAACTACACTAGAATCCATGATCCCAGAATTATCATCTAAAATTCTAGTTAAAATGTGTTGTAGGTGAAGATGAAGGTTTGCCCTGATCTGCCTAAATATGACTCAGTGACCACAGTCAGAAAATATTTAAGAAAGAAGTGTAGGGCTGAAGTAGAAGATAATATCTCAGCACTTAACAAACATAGATGTCACTTAGAAATATCTGTATTTCCTAGAAGTAAGAAGTACTGACATGACATTTCCTATGTTCAGCTGCTATTGCTGTGGATCTGTAGCCTCATCACACTGAAACTGCATTGAACATCTAAAATATCAAAAAGTTCACTCTGTAGGGCATTCTAATCAAACCTAGTAGGCTCTCTCAGTGAAAGTATCTTTGATTTCTTATCTCATAATTTGTAGGCAGACTACACTTGCTTATAATAAAATCTGCAAGTGTCTTTGCAGACCTGAAGTTTTTGTCCAGGAACCTAAAAATAGTACTTGATTTCAGAGCGAGAGATCAAAAAATTTCTCTGAGGCTCTGAAGAGTCTGTAATATAGTTATGAATCCAATTTTTACTCATATTCACTATTTTCTTACACTTCATGACTACCAAAGAGCTGTCCTCTGTTTCCAAGCCAACATCATTTTTATAACAAAAAGAGCTCTGTATAGTCTGCTTTTGTTTTTGCAGAATTCAGCTTTCACTGAAGAGCTGTAATCTAAAATCCCCTTGCCTGAAAAAAATTACAGATATGTCTTTTGCAAATATGAGCACAACTTCTGAAATGCTAATAATTTTTTCCTGAAATTTTAGACTATCCCAAATATAACAGTTGAGGTGCCCACACTTAAAACATGATCAGTCTGGTTAGGTTCAATTAACTTTGAACCCTCAGAGGCTTAAGTGATCCAGCAGACAATAATTTTCACTGATCCACACAGTTTTCAGCAACATCAGGCAGCTAAGGCCCTCTGTCTTAAGCAAGGAGGATTAAAGAAACGGCATGTTTCAATTTGAAAGCACAGAGAGACAGTTTGTGCTGTTAGTCTTGAACCTGTTAACATGTTTGTATGGCTGTTTCAGTAGCCCACTGGGATCTTATTCCTACTTTAACTTTCCAGTTACTGTTGCAACACAGCTACATCAGCATCAGTACCTCATAGGCTTACTTTGCCATTTTTGCTGCACTTTTAGCTATATCATGAGTTGCTACTCCAGGAGACTAAAGATACTCTAAGCCTGTCTGAAAGATTGCTCAGATAGTTTTGAGGAAAAGAGTACCATATAGAAGCATGTATGAGTGAACCATTGTGCAGAGTATGATGCAAAGAAGCTAAATCATCTTTTAAGAGAAGCCTAAAAATATTTGATAATGGTTAGTTTGTTCTTTCTGAAACATTCTGACATTGACAAATGAATCTGAAGACAAAGGAGTAAATACCAACCATCACAGTTAGAAACTTAAAGTAACTTTTTGAACACAATGTTCTTCGAAGACTTTGAACACTGCTTTTATTCATTGATTTATTTTCTTAAATTCCCACATACTTAATTTTTTTTTCAGTGCAAGGAATTCACTGAAAGGGTAGATAAGTAGCTGTCTTAAAGGTTAGTTAAACATGTGCTTAAGTATTTTCAGTGATTAAACTCTTTTGAGGGGATTTTGAATGTTTTTGCCTTTTATTTTTAACAATTATGTACCTTCCAGGGCCATTCCGTGCAGAAACATCTTACTCCTGTGGAAGAAATTAGCTAAATTTGACATCAAATGGCTGGTTGTTTCAACAGTAATCCCACTTAAAGACCACATGCAGTGACAGATATTGTACCAAAGTGGAGTCAAAACACTACCTCAGAGTGCTCCCTCTCTGAATTAGAAATGGGACCTTGTAAGGGGCCAAGGAGGGAGGGAAGGGTGGATGGAACAGTAGAAATAATATAAAAGTTACTCACATAAAAGCTGTCTGTGTGAACCAGTGATGTTTGCATTCTCATGCCAGAAGGGGTTTATCAAAGGGTAACATTCATTCCTCACTGATAGAGAAGGGAAAAAACAATGAGAAAAAGTTATGCTATAATATCTTATTGCAATATCCTCTATTTTTTTTCATGTACATATAATTCATGTAATATTATCTGCTTTAAAAACAGTCATTCCTAGGTAGGGAAGGAAAGGAGGGGATTTTCAGTACCCAGCAGTGGCCAACTTCTGCTCCACTGAGACTTGACCATTGAAGTCAAGAGGGAAACGTCTGCTCATTTCAGTGGGGCTCAGGGTACAGCAGAGGGGAGAATTAATCTGCTCCTTCTCCCCTGCTCCACTGGAAGCAACATTCTTTCTTGCCTACGATGAACACTACTTACTCCTTGGGTTTTAATGGTGGAACCAAACCCAAAAGTAATATGCCTGGCATACAAATTAATCTAAATGGGAAAAATCCTATAATATCCACATAGGGTTTATAGATCTTTCATTAAAATCCAGAACTGTGAAGTACCAAGCAAGATCAATCACTGTACAATTACTTGGTGAACTTGGTGAGTCTTAAGTCACTTACCTTTAGTTGGTATGGGATTAGTTAATTATAAGTATATATTATTCATAGATACACATTTCAAATTAATAATAGTTATATTGATTACAATTATATTAATATTACTTATATTGTTTCTGTATATAAACTATATATTGTTTAATATTATTTATGTTGATAATCTTTATATTCTTATTTATCATTTTAATGGCTTTAGCCCAGTACTTTCGCCCCTTAATTCCCCCCGAGTCAAACGAAAATACATGCCTCTCCTAAATGGTTAACGTTTATTAAATTAGTTTGAATTAAAAGCTAATGTAAAATCAGGCTACAGCAGCAGAAAATGCGCTATCCCCATGTCTCCTTCGGCAAGCAGTGCAACAGATACTCGGGCAACGAACTGCCGACGGGTGAAGAGGACCGAAAGGGGAAAGGACTGTTTTCCTGAGCAAGTGAAGCCAGGAGAACAAGCCACCGCCCCCTGGGTGGCAGGTACCGCAGCACGCCGGAGCT